GGCCGCGGCGAACGTGGCCGAGTCGATAGTGCCCGCGAACCGTTGAAAACGCACTCGAGGTGCCCGCGAACTGTACTGTGATGAGTTCGCGGGCACCTATCAACTCGGCCGCGTTCGCCGCGGCCGCGCCCAGTTGGTTAGGTATTGTCTGGAGCTCTGGTTTATACAGTGCGTTTCAAAAGTAAGCACCCTTGAATGAAGCTGTTCCAAGTTAGAATGAAGGTTCCGTGATTTGATGAATAGTTTATCGAATTCAGCACGCTCTGAAACTATAGTAAACTTTGTTGTACAAACCACTATAAGCTAGAAACGGTTCCATAAGAAAATTTGAAAAACTCCCCTGTTTCAAAAGTATAAAGCCACCCCGGGCGAGTAGGCAACAGCGGTAAAAATTTTTGTTCCTGTTAACTCATTTGGAGTTCTTTGGCCATAATTAGCACAAACACATTACGTCTAAAATACCTCGGGATCGTACGTTTTCTTTGGAAGAGCACGTTCGTGCGAGGACGTTACATCGAAGCTGCCATTCAAATCGCTCCATTGCTGCTCAACTTGGACGTTCTCAAAGCTGTATCGACATTTCTTTTGAGGAATCCAGCTTATCATGAAAGGAAAGATCCCTGAAAGGTCACGTGTTCTGCTTGAGTATTATATCCGCCATGTTAAACGATCCCTTTCCAATTCTACTGCGACCATCAGTCAGATCCGATACGAGCTCTCCCTTTGCCTTCGCCAAAAGTTTCCCATTTGAGTCTTAATCGGCCCCAAACTATTCGTCGACAAATCGCTATATGAAGACTCCACGTCCGGAACAGCATCACAAAGCACCTCGTCTCGAACTCGCCCGGAGGAACATGCGAACGAGTTGGGGTTCGGTAGGTGATTCTACGGGGGTAGGGAGACACTTTCATCATGACGTTTAGTTAATGGCTTGTAGTGTTTCCACTCTCATTTTCTTAGCTGGGTGAGAAGAACTCTAACCATAGACCGCGGATCACCACCATCTGGAGAGATTTTAGCGAAGATCCGCTGGTATTTAGCAGAGAAACTCGGTGGTGACGCAGATGGTCTGAGCTGCATTCTACAGCGATGCTGTGCTCCCTCTGTCTTTCGTCTCGTGTCAAATGGACCCCAGTGAGAATCAGGATGCTTTTCTTAATGATCTTCTCTCGTTTCTGTGTGGAAGTCGTCGGCAAAACTTCATCTTTATGCACGATTACGCCACCATCCATCGCAGCCGGTCCACTCAACACCGGGTTTACGTCAACAAAATCAGTGTACTGGAATGGCCTGCTAGCAGCCTAGATCCAAATCCAATAAAAAACACCTGGGGTATCATTGTCCGACAGATATACGCGTATGGAAAGCAGTACAGTAACGTGGGAGACCTCAGACAGCCATCGAGACGTTTTCCTACCACCTGAATCCCGCTATACTTCTGAAGCTCACGGATAGTATGCCAAATGGTCTATTAAATCTCACTTCTAAAAAAGGAAGTCACGCTAGTTACTAATATTTACGATGTTCACTTTTTCTCTGGAAAAATAGAGTTATGTTGCAAGTGGCTTTATACTTTTGAAACAGGGGATATTTGGAAATCTTCTTATAAAAATGTATGTGAATCATTTTGTTTCCTGAAATAAAGAGAACAATGGTTTCCAAACACGCTGAATTCAATAAAGTTTATGGCAAGCCATGAAATACTCACCTTAACTCGGAAAGTTAGTTTTCATGGGTGGCTTTATACTTTTGAAACGCACTGGGGAATAGGGAAGTGAAAACGAAGAAAATGAAATACTACGAATGGGATTTTGAACAACGAGTACTACGGATATTACGATAGCAATGCCAGCGACGTAAAAAAGAAATTATTGCAACGACCAAAAGTCCAACACCCGAAGCTGGTGAACATTGCGCATAAATATACGATTGGTAGCAGTCCGAAATTGATGCACTGTATACAACAGACCCTAATCATGTATTCGCTGGCAGGAAGCTTTAACATTTTGAGGATTGTCGTTATTTATGTTGTGAGGTTCCTGCAGAGATATTGGCACCGCCTGGTCGCTTGGACTCCAAAGTATAGTCTTTTACTTCAATATATCATGCATTTTCAATTGTAATGCATCGTGTTAGGCGAGGGTAGCATGGAAGGACTGCCAATGGTATAGTTACGTCACAGTCCTGAGACCGAATTCGTGGCTGAATCTCTGCTCCAGTGCGGGCGCATGTGTCATTACGTGGGCGTGAACCTTACTTAGCCTATGATGAAATGTGAGCACGGGCTTACCCTCTCCATGTGGATGGTGAAAAAATTGTAGAATATGAGGGATCCGAGTGCTCTTTTCCCTTTCCCTTGTTCATTTCTGATCTACAGGAGGTGTTGAAACACTAATGTCGATTTGCAGTTTATAAAAGGTAAAGAGTTGGATTATTATTATTTTGAATGTTGATTTTTCGACCCTTCTTTTCGCCATGAACTAAGGCCATATGTGGTATAGGAAGAATACCGCCAGTTTGGTACTGGAACGATGTACGTTTGAGCTATCCAAGAACCTTTCAGTGATACTCACCGTAAATGAACTTCTAAGAATGGGTTTTTTTCACCTCTCTTATGTCAGGAATCGTTAAGAGTAAGAATGACAAGCTGCAAACAGCCGAACTTACTGAGCCACACCATTCGGCCTCAACCTTCCTTCTTCTTTTTTGCCTCCATGCCTCTGTTCCCTTCGAACAAGTACAGTGCTTCTTGCACTGAATCGATCTTCTTTCCTGCTGCTTGGTTCCCGCGCGATTGCGTGTGGACTGTTCCGCGTTGCAAGGAATACCGCTTGTCATTTGTTTAGTTTTCCTTGCTGAATCATGTCAATTGATCTTGCTTTTATTGAGGCTTATGTCTTTTTTGTATTGATGCAGTATGCGATTGCAGCCGCATTTCTTGCTGGCACGAGTTCGGACATCTCGCCTGCCCCTTTCCCCTCCGCCCTCCTTATTCCAAGAGGGAAGAGGTTGAGTCCTTTTTTATAGTTTCGTGGCGGTTTCTTTGTTTCCTTTTTTATCTGCAGTCAACTAGCCATCTATAATTTCATGACCAGACCCTTCAACCCTGCCAATTCGATGTGGAATTGTGGCTTTGAAGGCAAAGTTCAGGCTCAGACCCACTTTAAAAGCCCTTACCGTGACTAGAAGCGCAAAGGTCGCGCCACCTTCCCACATCGGAACCATGGTTCCCTAGTTAGACTACCATTTATATTCATTATCTAATACGTTTACTTGTCATTTTTGGCTAATTACGTTCCCTGAAACTATTTTGACTTCAAATTCTTAAGAAAGACTGCATCATCTTCCTTTACTTAGGCCCCAGACATTCAAATTTTGTTAGAGGGAACTTATCGAACTTAACGCGAATCTCGTCAAACCCAAATGTTTCAGCATACCAATCGTATCCAAACCGTGGAGCACAGTTTCGGATAGATCTTCACGATTCCGGTCGACTATCGATTCTGGGCCAATCTGTCACAGTTCTGCAAGGTCAAATCCACTTTGAATGAAGCCATATTTTATTAATGATAAATATTTGATTGGAAGTGAACGAACAGCAGATCACACGCTCTCATTGGTCGCTTCTCTCAAAGGTGAGAAAGAAGCAAGTTGGCTGTCCATGATAGTGAAGCCGTGGGTAAGCTAGTCTCGTTGGCCGTATTCTTTGAGAAAACTCTGACAGTTTTCTTAGAGGATGACCGATTGTAAGCTCAAAATGAAAAAGGCAAATGAAAATAGCATTTGAAATGAGGGTATGAGGCGAAGGGTTAGAGCACGATGTCATGTTATCTGCATACCAATGTTTTCGCCACGAAGCGAGAGGGGATTCTGCAGCGAAGACCTCTCAGCACATTCGCGTGTACAATCAACGAGTAGAGCGTCATCTTTATAGGATATATCGCACTCAAAGGCCGTATACATCGGTTTGAGGGATTTAGCAAATCGGATATCGGGCAATTCGAGCACTTGGCGATTCACCGAATCACAAAGGGGTTTATTTGGCCTGTGGTGCCGCGCACTCATGCGAGTATGTCGCAGCAAAAGCGTCTACTTACTTATAGTGAAACGACTCTGTGGGCCGAATTGGTTCCACCTTAATCAGTTCGCGGCAGGGCGCGCAGTGTCACATGTTATCGACTTATTTCCATAGGGGCCACTTGCCGTTTCCCTTGTGCACTCCACGACGAGGGCCACGGCGGAAAAATGAGGACCAACTTTACGGAACACCATCGCTGACCAGAGAGCGGAGAATGACGATGAGACGACTCCTCGTAATGGGGAGCGCCACAGTCGGAGACTTTCTGTCCCGCGCGCGAACGCCATCAAAGAATTCTTTATCAAAATCAAAATTGGGTAATCAAACGATAGCAAACATAGGACATACTAAATAAAGAACAAACATGACGGCGAATGATTAATGCTTAAACAAATCTCCTAGAACATGCCTATAATTTTTTCTCTGGAAGCCTTTCAATAAAATCATCTCATGACTCTCAAATGGCTATTCCTGGTGCTTGTAAGCATATATCTGCGAAAGGAACTGCCAGCAAAATAAGTTATCAGCTAAATTATCAGATGGATATGCTGGCCCCAAGAGATCAGCTGTAGATCAGCTGGTCTGAACCAAGTAGATCAGAGGGGAGGCGGCAGTTGTTGATCATGGGTGGTCATTGGAGACCACCTTT